ATAGATAGATAGATAGATAGATAGATAGATAGATAGATAGATGGACAGACAGACAGACAGACAGACAGAAAGACAGACAGATAGATAGATAGATAGATAGATAGATAGATATACGTAAGGAGAAAACAGGCACGTAATAGTCCAAACTCTTATAGAGGTAAAAAAAATTATTACTTTTAACTTGTAATCAGGCCCTCTTTTCTTCCTACTGCAAATTTCGGCAGGCAGGAGAAAAGGATAAGCTAATCGCTGGTTGACTAAATAATTTTCAAACGTCCCCAAATTTTATTTTACAAATATAAACCTTGGATCTAGATTGGGAGGGGGGACCGGGTAGGGGACGGGCGGTGTTGAATTAAACGTCACTTTTCAATTAGATTTTTTTGCTTAGATTTTCCCGGCTATAAGTTAAAATTTGACAAATCTCAGCTATCACAGATACAAAACGCAAAATTTCTGGGTTGACAGATAAGGTCTAGACCAATACTCAGTTATCAGTAATGGATGGAGGAATACATAAGATATCTCAGACTATGCTGTTTGGAAATTAGTACTTTTTTCCAGCAATGATAAAGGGTCTGGATGGGGCTTAACTGATAGCTTAGAAATGGATTGACATTTTAACGGATAGCTGAGAAATCAACGCAAACCTAACTAATCACTGCATGGGATCCTAGCTCGCCCATGTACACCTTCATGAAAAACATCAGCTACGCTTAAATGATAAACAGACCTACATCATGCGCGTACAATATGGACAACTGTCGACAGCTATTTTGATTAGGCGTCAAACGATAATTCGACTAAACGCATGATTTAAAATCTCCGCTATGAAATAAAAATAATGAGCATTACACTGAGGTTTAAACCCCGGGCCCAACGTAATATATACCAATGAACAAGCTATTCGGTTTGCTATCGATCTTTCCAGTCAGAAGAAAGATGACCTGGAATGTTCAGCCAATGATTGAAAGCAAAAGCGATGTTAGGGTTGGTTAGCCTCAAAGTTATAGATGGTTTCTTTTAATGCCGCACGAGTCGTATTCTAAAATCTAAGGTGCTTATGGAGACTGGAAAGTTTCTCGAAAATTTGTTAACAACCAACTAACTATGAGAAACATTCTTTTAAAAATGTCTAAATTTTTATGACATCATCTAGTGTCATCTAGTATCATCAGGCTAGTAGATGATTCTACTCCAAAGAAATTTGCTCCTCATACACAGCCAGTATGAACATAATGACAAAGCCAAACAGGGTGGCAAAATTCTGAAGGGCAAACATCTTGAGGTTCTTTCCAAGTGAATTTTGCCCAAGTTTAGCGGACATCTCAGTAGCTTCTTGCAGCTGTCAATTAAAACACAACGTTATAAGCATATAGACAACATACAGCTGATTTTAATAAAAAGCGCTCACAGCCGCACATTCAGCGAACGAATTTTACAGAATTCATTTGGGACTATCATGCCCATAGCCTGAAATGTCAGTCGCCTTCCGCCCTCGACTTAGGCCGAGGACGGGAGATGATTGACATTTGAGGCTATCATGCCTACGAAGTAACCTAAAAAAAAGCATTTTTAAGACCATGACCAACAATGTGTCGAGTTGCTGGCAGGTTTCTATCTGTTTCTTTCTCCCAGCAAAATTGTGTCAACTTCTGCTTCCAAACAAACGCCCTTGTAAAAATTTGCCAGCCAGCGCTAGCAGACACATCCAAATTTACACACAATGAAAACACTATTCGGGGTGTGGTTTGAGACCCTTATTTACACCTTCAGCGGAGAGGATGGTGGTTTGTGAGAGACAATTTTAAAGCAATCAAACCAAATTTAATATAACGAGCCAGTGAGTGCAACCCAAGGAACATA